ACAGTGCAGATATGAATTTTACAAGAATCATAAGTATGATAGAGTTAAATCAGTTTAAATACTAAGTTAAGTTAATGGAGTTCAAGGTTCCAGTGTTTAAAGGTGGGTCAGTCTGTACATCTCTTCAGGGGACATTGCTCCTGTAGATGGTGGGGTGGGTGGGTCAATCTGTGCATCTCTTCAGGGGACATTGCTCCTGTAGATGGTGGGGTGGGTGGGTCAATCTGTGCATCTCTTCAGGGGACATTGCTCCTGTAGATGGTGGGGTGGGTGGGTCAATCTGTGCATCTCTTCATGGGGACATTGTTCCTGCAGATAGTGGGGTGGGTGGGTCAGTCTGTACATCTCTTCAGGGGACATTGCTCCTGTAGATAGTGGGGTGGGTGGGTCAATCTGTGCATCTCTTCATGGGACATTGCTCCTGTAGATGGTGGGGTGGATGGGTCAGTCTGTGCATCTCTTCAGGGGACATTGCTCCTGTAGATGGTGGGGTGGGTGGGTCAATCTGTGCATCTCTTCAGGGGACATTGCTCCTGTAGATAGTGGGGTGGGTGGGTCAGTCTGTACATCTCTTCAGGGGACATTGCTCCTGTAGATAGTGGGGTGGGTGGGTCAATCTGTGCATCTCTTCATGGGGACATTGTTCCTGCAGATAGTGGGGTGGGTGGGTCAGTCTGTACATCTCTTCAGGGGACATTGCTCCTGTAGATGGTGGGGTGGGTGGGTCAATCTGTGCATCTCTTCAGGGGACATTGCTCCTGTAGATAGTGGGGTGGGTGGGTCAGTCTGTGCATCTCTTCAGGGGACATTGCTCCTGTAGATAGTGGGGTGGGTGGGTCAATCTGTGCATCTCTTCAGGGGACATTGCTCCTGTAGATAGTGGGGTGGGTGGGTCAGTCTGTACATCTCTTCAGGGGACATTGCTCCTGTAGATAGTGGGGTGGGTGGGTCAATCTGTGCATCTCTTCATGGGGACATTGTTCCTGCAGATAGTGGGGTGGGTGGGTCAGTCTGTACATCTCTTCAGGGGACATTGTTCCTGTAGATGGTGGGGTGGGTGGGTCAATCTGTGCATCTCTTCATGGGGACATTGTTCCTGCAGATAGTGGGGTGGGTGGGTCAGTCTGTACATCTCTTCAGGGGACATTGCTCCTGTAGATAGTGGGGTGGGTGGGTCAATCTGTGCATCTCTTCATGGGACATTGCTCCTGTAGATAATGGAGTGGGTGGGTCAATCTGTGCATCTCTTCAGGGGACATTGCTCCTGTAGATAGTGGGGTGGGTGGGTCAATCTGTGCATCTCTTCAGGGGACATTGCTCCTGTAGATAGTGGGGTGGGTGGGTCAGTCTGTACATCTCTTCAGGGGACATTGCTCCTGTAGATAGTGGGGTGGGTGGGTCAATCTGTGCATCTCTTCAGGGGACATTGCTCCTGTAGATAGTGGGGTGGGTGGGTCAATCTGTGCATCTCTTCAGGGGACATTGCTCCTGTAGATGGTGGGGTGGATGGGTCAATCTGTGCATCTCTTCAGGGGACATTGCTCCTGTAGATAGTGGGGTGGGTGGGTCAATCTGTGCATCTCTTCAGGGGACATTGCTCCTGTAGATAATGGAGTGGGTGGGTCAATCTGTGCATCTCTTCATGGGGACATTGCTCCTGTAGATAGTGGGGTGGGTGGGTCAATCTGTGCATCTCTTCAGGGGACATTGCTCCTGTAGATAATGGAGTGGGTGGGTCAATCTGTGCATCTCTTCATGGGGACATTGTTCCTGTAGATAGTGGGGTGGGTGGGTCAATCTGTGCATCTCTTCATGGGGACATTGTTCCTGTAGATAGTGGAGTGGGTGGGTCAATCTGTGCATCTCTTCATGGGGACATTACTCCTGTAGATAGTGGGGTGGGTGGGTCAATCTGTGCATCTCTTCATGGGGACATTGTTCCTGTAGATAGTGGAGTGGATGGGTCAGTCTGTGCATCTCTTCAGGGGACATTGCTCCTGTAGATAGTGGGGTGGGTGGGTCAATCTGTGCATCTCTTCATGGGGACATTGTTCCTGTAGATAGTGGGGTGGGTGGGTCAATCTGTGCATCTCTTCAGGGGACATTGTTCCTGTAGATGGTGGGGTGGATGGGTCAATCTGTGCATCTCTTCAGGGGACATTGCTCCTGTAGATAATGGAGTGGGTGGGTCAATCTGTGCATCTCTTCATGGGGACATTGTTCCTGTAGATAGTGGGGTGGGTGGGTCAATCTGTGCATCTCTTCATGGGGACATTGTTCCTGTAGATAGTGGAGTGGGTGGGTCAATCTGTGCATCTCTTCATGGGGACATTACTCCTGTAGATAGTGGGGTGGGTGGGTCAATCTGTGCATCTCTTCATGGGGACATTGTTCCTGTAGATAGTGGAGTGGGTGGGTCAATCTGTGCATCTCTTCAGGGGACATTGCTCCTGTAGATAGTGGAGTGGGTGGGTCAATCTGTGCATCTCTTCAGGGGACATTGTTCCTGTAGATAGTGGGGTGGGTGGGTCAATCTGTGCATCTCTTCATGGGGACATTGCTCCTGTAGATAATGGAGTGGGTGGGTCAATCTGTGCATCTCTTCATGGGGACATTGCTCCTGTAGATAGTGGGGTGGGTGGGTCAATCTGTGCATCTCTTCATGGGGACATTGTTCCTGTAGATAGTGGAGTGGGTGGGTCAATCTGTGCATCTCTTCAGGGGACATTGCTCCTGTAGATAGTGGGGTGGGTGGGTCAATCTGTGCATCTCTTCATGGGGACATTGTTCCTGTAGATAGTGGAGTGGGTGGGTCAATCTGTGCATCTCTTCAGGGGACATTGCTCCTGTAGATAGTGGGGTGGGTGGGTCAATCTGTGCATCTCTTCAGGGGACATTGTTCCTGTAGATAGTGGAGTGGGTGGGTCAATCTGTGCATCTCTTCAGGGGACATTGCTCCTGTAGATAGTGGGGTGGGTGGGTCAATCTGTGCATCTCTTCAGGGGACATTGTTCCTGTAGATAGTGGAGTGGATGGGTCAGTCTGTGCATCTCTTCAGGGGACATTGCTCCTGTAGATAGTGGGGTGGGTGGGTCAATCTGTGCATCTCTTCATGGGGACATTGTTCCTGTAGATAGTGGAGTGGGTGGGTCAATCTGTGCATCTCTTCATGGGGACATTGCTCCTGTAGATAGTGGGGTGGGTGGGTCAATCTGTGCATCTCTTCAGGGGACATTGTTCCTGTAGATAGTGGGCAGGATGGGTCAATCTGTGCATCTCTTCAGGGGACATTGCTCCTGTAGATAGTTGAGTGGGTGGGTCAATCTGTGCATCTCTTCAGGGGACATTGTTCCTGTAGATAGTGGGCAGGATGGGTCAATCTGTGCATCTCTTCAGGGGACATTGTTCCTGTAGATAGTGGAGTGGATGGGTCAATCTGTGCATCTCTTCATGGGGACATTGTTCCTGTAGATAGTGGAGTGGATGGGTCAATCTGTGCATCTCTTCATGGGGACATTGCTCCTGTAGATAGTGGGGTGGGTGGGTCAATCTGTGCATCTCTTCAGGGGACATTGTTCCTGTAGATAGTGGGCAGGATGGGTCAATCTGTGCATCTCTTCAGGGGACATTGTTCCTGTAGATAGTGGAGTGGATGGGTCAATCTGTGCATCTCTTCATGGGGACATTGTTCCTGTAGATAGTTGAGTGGGTGGGTCAATCTGTGCATCTCTTCAGGGGACATTGTTCCTGTAGATAGTGGGCAGGATGGGTCAGTCTGTGCATCTCTTCAGGGGACAGTGCTCCTGTAGATAATGGGGTGGGTGGGTCAGTCTGTGCATCTCTTCATGGGGACATTGTTCCTGTAAATAGTGGGGTGGATGGGTCAATCTGTGCATCTCTTCATGGGGACATTGTTCCTGCATATGGTGGGGTGGATGGGTTAATCTGTGCATCTCTTTAGGGGACATTGCTCCTGTAGATGGTGGGGTGGGTGGGTCAATCTGTGCATCACTTCAGCGGACATTGTTCCTGTAGATGATGCTGATATTGATTGTCACCCATGAAGGAGAGACAAGAATGTCAGTAAACTCCACTTGACATGCCCAGCTATGATTGATATTGTCAGTGGTGCTCTACAGGTTGTCCATTTATTTTTTTAGTATGATCAACAAAGTGATCGAAAATGTGACATTGTTGATTTTTAATGTAGGTAATGTTAAGCTGAAATTTATTACTTGCACGTGAAGAGATCACCCGTTTAATAAACATACAGCTGCATTACACATTGTGTAATACCCAAATGCGTGCTTATGTACTCTCGGAACACGTTTCACGAACAAATATTGAAAGCTCTCAACATCCCTTGCCTTATTCAACGACATTGCGTGTGGAGATGATAGATCACGGAGAGGAGGTTATGCACATTCGATGACCTCAGCAACCTGGCTTTTGCAACAAAATTTCCCAAATTACATCATCGGGTATTGTGACAAGGCGATCGTATTGTAGTGCAATGACAGTCGTTAGTCTAAGTTAAAGTATGTGAATTGCAATAGCCTTAGCGCTATGATAATTTTATAGAACAGCAACTGAATTCTAAAGGTGGACCTTAAATTTGTACGTTTCAACTTTTGACGTGTTTGAAGTATTATTCTGTTAAACTCAATTGGACTATGCCGTGGATCGTGTAGGTGTCCGCCTATTCATACTCAATAGTATAATTTTATTATACTTGTGAATAGTTATGGTACCTGACTCCCTTTCGCTCATCAAATACCATAACTATTCACTCGTTTCATAAAATTGGTATTACACTATTTATTGTAAATAAACATCCCACTTCTCACAAAGTCAGGATTTGTAACAAAGAAAAACATTTTAGTTAATAAATAATACTCGTATAAATAAAGAGTATGAAGGCAAGCTAAGATTTCATTAATCTTACCCTCCATTGTCTCTTTCATTATTGCCAATTACTATCAAGTCTTTGCACTATACAGGAACACCAAGAGAAAATGGCTGAAAAGAAAAAGAAGAAGAAGAAGAAAGAGAAAAAGAAGAGGAAGAAGAAGCACAAGAAGCGACACAGTTCCAGTGACAGCAGCTCTGAGTCAGAGGATGATGAAGAGAAGCTGAAGAAGGTGAGTTGTCTGGCAAGTGATGGCAATCATATGTTAGTCAGGAAGGCCACTTCAATGAGTAGCATAGGCTATGTCTTCCTTGCTGTGTGGAATTCCACCAAGGGACATCATATTTGTTCTACAAGCTTGAGAGGACCCTCGGAATGATCTTGAATACTTGTCATTGATGAAGGTCAGATTCACTCTTAGGATCATCCATTCAAATATGTGTAATGCTCACAATAAGTCAAGGAAGATTCTGTAGGCCAATGAGACTTGGTACAATGTCATCCTTAGAGCAGGCCCCAGGTAGTTAAAGTCAGAAGTGACCTAAGTGTGAGGTGAAGGTCATTCATTCATAAAGTATGTTTGCCATTTTCACTAAAAATGCCTTTTCTGCAATTTGTTTTAAAGTCTTAAGGTAGCCAGGCACAGTTTGGGCACATTAAAGAGGTGGGAGGCATGCAGTTGTGTCTTTTTTGTCTAGTCCTCTATCAAGTGGACTTGGTTGACATTGGCATAAGTGTATCTTAAATTTGGACTGGAAAAAATCAACAAATATTCAAATAATTAACCCAAATTCATGCATTCCAATATTACTGGGAGTTTGTTCCTGAGAATGCGATGGCGTATCGTCCAATGATCAATGGTATGGAGGATTTTTCTGTCAACCACTCACTTAACAGTCAGCCTCTCTCTCGAAAGTAATAATCAGGAGGTCAGTGTCGTTTGCATTTCTGAATGAAAAATTTGCAAATTTCTTTGATCATTTTTGAAAAAAGATGTACAAATGCTGAAGCAAATGTTTCATTAATGATCATTGAAAGTTCAAGATCCTTAGAGTAGGTCGAGGTGAACTGTTTCTCTGGTCCACAGCAGTGTTAAAAGGGGAAGGGGTTGCTGGGGTCCTGGGTGCCCTTGTACAAAACAAACTTTGTGTTAGGATGATCATTAGTCTATGTTAAAGTAAAGGAGTTACGATCACCTTAGCGCAAAGATCCCTCGGTACATTGGCACCTTGGAGGTTTGCTGCTATAGTATTTGAATCCAGGGACCCCATTAGTGTTTAATTCTTAATTTTAGGGTTAGGACAAGGACCCATTGACTTGTAGGCTTCATTTTGAACACTGACCGACAGCTAGCCCTAGGTTCAGTGGGATTCAAGTTTGATGAGTTGAGTACATTTCCAGTGACTAGATGGAATATTTACCTTCCTCTTTGTACAGTTTCAGTTTCATGAGTCATGATGAAATCATGCCTATCCAAACACATGTTGATCTGTGCAATATCATATAACTGATAGCTCATGAGACACCATTAACGATTAGCTTTCATTACTCTATAAAACTTTTCCCATCACTGTTGAATGCACAGCTTAATAGCGTGTGATTTGACAACTGTTTCCATAAACCCTCCTCTTTATAGAGATGACAAGCTGTCACCCTCGCATGAACAATACATGTGTGTGTCATGCTTTCTGTGTACACTAATTATAATATTTAGATACAACATTAATCATGTGAAAACATGCACATCAGGCAGACCTTCCTCCCAAACAATAACTAATGACTATTGTTTACCTTCTTTTGCAAGTTTCACCAAGTGCTGAGAGAGTTTTTTTCAATGAATATGTATATGTTTGTATGCTGCATGAGGCAGCTACCACTTGATGAAGATGAAAGGAAATTTGGTATGTGGATAGTCTGTAATTTGACCTTGACCATTGACCATACCCACAAATTTTTTACAATTTATACATATGGTCTGTTCTAAATGTAGTTATGAAGCTGTAATTATGGAAGGATGATAAACAGGGTAAAGGCAAGCGTTGAATTCATTTTTATGCCATCACAAATTCAAAATTTGGTTATTTCGCTCTTCACATTTTGCCATTTGTCAGCCATTTTCAGACATGATGAATTAAAGTTTGATGTCTAGGATGCATTGAATGTAACTTTATGACCCTGCATGCATACATTTGACATGTTTTGCTGCAGTTTGAATTTTGATTCTTGACTTGATCAACACACACTGTCCGTCCATGTTTAGTTCCGAGTCAAACTTGATGTATAATGAAGTGTGACATTGTGGCAACACATATGTGTGCATTGTTACGTTGTTGGAGATTACTTAACAATGATGTAACTTATGGAACTTTCAAGTCTGAGCAAGTGCACCATCTGTAGACCATCTCTATGGTCTAGTCGATAGAGCATCTGCCCAGAGACCGGAAAGTCAGTTTTTTGATCCCCTGGCCATGTCATATCAAGAGCCGTTAAAAGATGGTACTTGTTGTTACCCTTCCTGACACTCCGCATTAAAGGGATAAGACAAGGACTGGTCGGCTTGGAATCAGTATATTGCTTTTCTGAGTGGGGTATACATGTTAAACCACGGCATGGTATCTCAGTATTTAGTGCTTCAAAAATGGTATTAGTCCGGACTATTAGAAACATACATGCACATATGCATGCATGTCGCTATATAAGTGTAATAATCTTGAATGCGACGTTAAACTTCATTTCACCTCACCAGTAGTTTACAAGGTGCATTATAGAAATACATTGTACAATTTGCCTTTTTTGTGATTATTATCAAATGTTTATGGATTATTGAGAAACCTCAATTACAGAATTCATTCCTTGCACAGAATCATTGAGTTGCAGTCATGCTTGAAATAGATCTAGAAATTTCAGAATAAAACAAAATTACATAGTATTGATTTTAGTAATTGTTTTCAATAGTATTCAATACAGCTGGATGCAGTAATGTTGCTTCAGATTTAAAAAAAATGAATCACAGGATGGAATGATGACTCATGTCAGAGTCTTATATTCCCTCTAATGTCAGTCTGGGGGTTTTGCAGTGATGTTAAGTTATATTTGCCCCACTAATCTCACATATTTAAGTTCCAGTTTTGCTGTTATAATTGTCTTCGTTCACTTTCAAGCTGCTTGGGAAATTAACTTCCCCAAAATTGTTCGCGGTTCCCTTTTTTGAAGAGGAGTCTTCCCTGACAAATACATTTGACCCTGGCTTATATGACCGCTTAGGTCTAATACATTTCTGGAGCAAAGTGGTTAGCAATTCTTGTCAGTACCAGTGAGAGACTATGACGTGTAATAAGTTCCTTCTGTTTTGTCAAATGTTTGAGTAAGATTGTCTCACTTTACATACACTGATGTCTCCATCGGGACCTGTCTTTCATGATGTGTAAATGTCACTGATGTTGAAAGGGGCCATGCATGGCATATGTGCCACAATTCACTTTGCATAGTTACATCCCTTAGGCATGTCATTAATTTTGTGTGATCAAATCCCAGATTTGTTTCTTGGTTTGTCAGCACCATATCAGTGATAATGGGTTTCACCAAAGTGGTTACATGCCATGGAAGTTGTGTGTGTCACATGTCCCTTTACCCTGGTAATCCCCTTTGGGACAGAGCCCTTGTAATTTCCTTTGCATTGGCAGAGCCCTTTTGATTCCCTTTGTAGGAGAGTGTCCTTGTAATTCCCTTTGCAGGGGTAGATTTATGAAACACTCCACTGCTAGCAGGTCCCGCCAGTGTGAACTCCTAAAATCTCACTTGCCAACAGAGCCATATAAAAATTATGTATATACATCTGCCAGGCCACTATCTTAAAGATCAGCAGTCCACTGCTATTTCTGCTGGTCTCTCAGCAAAAGAACCCACATGTAAATAAGTTAAATAGACCTCTACTATTTCTGCTGGCCTATTGGCCTTAAGACCAGCAGTTCCAACGCCACCTGCTTTGACCCAGTAATAAATACACTTAGCAAGCTCTCATTCTTTGTCTCCAGGCATTACAACGTGAGGCGGAGCACCAGCGCAGTGCAGATCGGCTTTTGGCAATGGATGAACGGAAGCGCCCCTACAACAGCATGTATGATGCAAAGGCACCCACGGAGGAGGAGCTAGAGGCATGGAAGATGAAGAGGCAGCGAGAGGAAGACCCCATGGCAGCATTCCTGTGATTGCTAATGCAGTTGTTGTAGCTTACAGGAAGCTGTTATAGCAGGACTTGGCAGATGCTGGTATTTCTGATCTGATCAGCCTCATGGGGGCCTCTTCATCAATGTAAAGGATTCACTGACAGCGTGATATGTGAACAGTGTTGGCGTTATTTGTAGGTGATGTCATGCTGGTGTTGGACATGGAGTACCTGGGAATTGACTATATCTGGATAAACTATTACTGTGTTGATGCTAATGCAAAATAATTAGTTATTACACCATGTTTATGTTATTCATTGAATTTCATTGTAAGGATGTATTTCAGATTATTGTTTCTGAATTTTTGAAATGCCCGACACAGTAAACTGGACTAATAACAACTTACACATATTTCTTCCGATGCTGTGTAAACTTCAGATGATCTGCCATGATTTGTCAATGGTGTTAACAACTCCCACATAAACATGATAAAGCTTCTTACAACCTGCAGCTTTGTGGTAGTGTTTGGACACCATGATCAGTGTGGGTGGAGTATTCCTGTCTGTATAATATTCTGCTCACATGAAGTCGGGGATATTTATTTTCTTATCACACCCTGAGGTGATTCCATGTCCCCAGCACCTCATGCTCACACAATGGACAACTACTGAGGGTTTGGAGGCTGGTTGTGTGACCCCAGTAGTGTGGGATGTTGCTCATCATGCTCACACAAGGGACAACTACTGAGGGTTTGGAGGCTGGTTGTGTGATCCCAGTAGTGTGGGATGTTGCTCATCGTGCTCACACAAGGGACAACTACTGAGGGTTTGGAGGCTGGTTGTGTGACCCCAGTAGTGTGGGATGTTGCTCATCGTGCTCACACAAGGGACAACTACTGAGGGTTTGGAGGCTGGTTGTGTGACCCCAGTAGTGTGGGATGTTGCTCATCGTGCTCACACAAGGGACAACTACTGAGGGTTTGGAGGCTGGTTGTGTGACCCCAGTAGTGTGGGATGTTGCTCATCGTGCTCACACATGCTTATTTGTCTGGCCCAGATGTGATTGTTTACTGTGGAGTGTTTCTAAGAGCAAAATAAACTAACATTCACTCTCTCAGTCTTTCAATGTTAGTTGTTTCACAGCTAATGTTAATAAAAACAGCTACAGTAAGGGATGTTTCACAGTTTGATTTTATATACCGAATGTTGACAAAATGTCACAAGGTTCACAAATGATCTTTGACTTGCCTCACTTGATATGTTTTGCAAAAAACAGCCAGGAATGAAATCAGTGTCTTCAAATGGAAACAGTTGTAACCTTTTGAAAGTGTCCTTCTTGAAGTTTAGCACCTAGTGTCTTCACCATCAATCCATACTGACAATCCTGTTTACTGGATTGGTTTGTAAATACATTGTACTTGGATGAACAGGGCTGTTGATACTGAACGATGTCTGAATGTCACGTGAGCATTAACCAGCCGCATCAGCGAAATCGTAGTTGTAATGTCAAGACATGTGACCTCCAAAATGTTCTGTAGCCCTAGAAAAGATATTTAGATTCTACATGTTCTAGTTTTCAGTTGTTAAAAGGGACTACTGTGATAACTTAATGTCCTCTACCTTGTTGTATATCACAGCATCATTGTTATTTTCATTTATTGTTTAGTGTCACACTCAGCCTCATTCCAGCTACATTACAGTCCAGACCAGACAAACCAGTGATTGATAATATGAGCAATGGTACTCGCCATCATGTATGATGATGCACATTCATACAAATCACCAGGTCTCCAAGCCTGACCACATGATTACAGCCTCATCATTAAGACAAACACTATAGTAATAACTGTTGTCAAACTTTTGACTCTACTCTCAATACAACTGCTGTCTGAAAAGACATATCTGTTTCTTTAGCAGCAGAATCTGAACAAAGAAGAGCAACTGCTTGTTTCCTTACATCTTTTTATTGCACTTGCATCTGTTAGAGTCAAGCCAGGACTTGTGATGACAAGTATGATGTGTTATGATTCATCATAATTCCATGCTATTATGCATGCAGTTTTATGTGCATCCATATTCGTTGATTTGAAAATGTACATATTATGTGTATATAATGTGAATAAATTTTTATAGATATGACAGTTTAATGTTTTATTTTGGTAAGCTGTTGTTCATAAATGTGCTTGATGCTAGGTTTATCCTTCCGTTGTTAGCTCACCTGAATTTGGTTATTTGAGGATGTATCATGTGTGGGTGTGCCATGTGGTGGGTGTGTCATGTGGATGTGTCATGTGTGGTTGTTTCATGTATGGGTGTCCTGTGTGGTCGTGTTGTGTGGTTGTGTCATGTGTTGGTGTGTCATGTGTGTGGTGTCATGTGTGGGTGTGTCATGTGTATGGGTGTCATATATGTGGGTGTCATGTGTTGGTGTGTCGTGTGGATGTGTCATGTGTGGTTGTTTCATGTATGGGTGTCCTGTGTGGTCGTGTTGTGTGGTTGTGTCATGTGTTGGTGTGTCATGTGTCATGTGTAGGGTCATTAGGGTGTGTCATGTGTGGCTGTATCATGTGTGGGTGTGACATGTGGATGTGTCGTATTGGTGTGGATGTCTAATGTGTGGGTGTGTCATGTGTTGGTGTGTCGTGTATGGGTGTGTCGTGTGTTGGTGTGTCATGTGTGGGTGTCGTGAGTGGGTGTGTCATGTGTGGGTGTCATGTGTGGGTATGTCGTGTGTGGGTGTGTCATGTGTGGGTGTGTTGTGTGGGTGTGTCATGTGTGGGTGTCATGTGTGGGTATGTCGTGTGTGGGTGTGTCATGTGTGGGTGTCGTGTGTGGGTGTGTCATGTGTGGGTGTGTTGTGTGTGTGTGGGTGTAATGTGTCGTGGGGATGTGTCATGTTTGAGTGTGTCCTGTGGGTTTGTTGTTGGCATGCGTGGCTGTGTCCCGTGGATGTGGCATGTGTGCTGTCATGTGTTGGTCTGACATGTGTGGTGTCGTGTGGGTGTGTCATGTTGTTGTGGCTGTGTCGTGTGTTGGTGTGTCGTATGGTTGTGTCATGTATAGGTGAATTATGTGTGAGTGTGTCATGTGTGAATGTGGGTGTGTCGTGTGGTTGTGTCGTGTGGGTGTGTCATGTGTGATTGTGTCATGTGTGGGTGTGTCATGTGTGGGTGTGTCATGTGTGGATGTTCCATGTGTGGGTGTGTCATGTGTGGATGTGCAATATGTGATTGTGTCATGTGTGGGTGTGTCATGTGTGGATGTTCCATGTGTGGGTGTGTCATGTGTGGATGTGTCATGTGTGATTGTGTCATGTGTGGGTGTGTCATGTGCGAGTGTGTCATGTGTGAATGTGGGTGTGTCGTGTGGTTGTGTCGTGTGGGTGTGTCATGTGCGATTGTGTCATGTGTGGGTGTGTCATGTGTGGATGTTCCATGTGTGGGTGTGTCATGTGTGGATGTGCCATATGTGATTGTGTCGTGTGGGTGTGTCATGTATGGTAGTGTCAAGTTAATTTATCCTTGGGGTTGCAGGTGAAACAGGTCCGCAGAACTTCATGCTTGTTGGAAGAGCTGACAAGAACAAGTAACACTGTGTCAAATAGTTTGTGAAAATACTTGTTCTATACATATATGCATTTTAGTGGCATTCAGAAAACACCAATTTTTAATTCTGGAAATGAAAAAAATGTTATGTTTCTTTTGGATGAAACTATCTAAATTTTCCTATAAACACAAATTGGCATTGTTATATATTGGTATCTGGTGTTGATCCTTCTTTGTCATTGTATCACAGTTGCAGAGATCAATGCTCATGATAACAATCTCTGGATTGTGTGGTGCTGTCATACAGCTGGAATATTGCTGAGTGTGGCTACAAACAACAATCAAACAAACGTTCTGTTAATTTAGAAATATTTAATTGTGTATGTTCCAGAAAAAGCCAGTTGTAAGTGAGCTACGGAACCTCATGTCACTGTGTTTCTGATATCCTGGTACTGTGTGCGTCATGGACAGTAGCAGATTGGTTTGTCAGTTATGTCTTCGGTTGTCATTCTTGAAGTTATTCATCAGAACAGGAGCAATGATATGGATAGAAACTTCTCTGTTTACACATTTAACATGCATACATTCTGGATGAAGGTTCCAGATTGGCACTGAAAACGTCAAAATACAGGAACCTCGATTCGTTTGCCTGTGTCAATTTTAGCCATGGTAATATAGGCAGGCACTGTTGACAGCCTTATGGTGTCAGAACACATGCAGCTTGGTTGAGCAGCTGTACACATGATCACATGATTAATCAGTAGGCTCTGCAGCTCACCTGATAGGAATGTATTTATGAGGGCAAGCTTTTGTTTTAGGGATTATTGCTACCCATTTAGCTTGGGTCAGTAAAGATATAAATAATTGTAAATTTTAGTTGTAAAAATAAATGGATAATTAGTGTTTATACAGTAATGTGTATATATATTTACTTCTAAAACGGTTTTGTTCCAGTTAAATGGGTTTGCAGTGACCAATGCATTTGATCAGTCAATACCTTTAAAAGGTTAAGAGTTTACCCATTGTGCTCCCCTTCTTGTGGATCTGTTTCCTCATGTATATGAATCGGAATTTATGTTTGGATTGTGAAAGTCAAAAGAAGGTAATCTGACCAAGAAGTTTCTGTTGCTCTGATATCGTTCAGTAGCCATCAAATAGCCAATTCACTTCCACTGATTTACCCACCTGAACTAGAAATAAAGGAGACCAGTGAGACTGCCTCATCTGTTTCGTATTCGGATCTATGCATAAAGATTCAGAGTGACAAAACACTCTCTACAAGACTGTCACAACATTTGAGATGCAGTCGAGCATACTCTTTCTACCAAGAAATCAAAGAGCGTCATACGACTCTTGCTCAGAAGGTTATCAAGGTTACAGCATTCCAGGCCTCTGAAGCTTAAAAAACGTTTTATGGTTGGCATGTGGAGGACATTTCCAAATTGGACGCATCACTGACAAAAGATGCAATTCCCTATTTTGACATGTACCAGATGTTCCCGTGTCTTTAACAGATGAACAATTGACTTGCCTTTGCAAGTTTTTTCTGACGCGTGCCACTGGTGGGGCAGGGTACGCTTACCTTATCGCGGACACCTCTTAGTATCATCACTATGTGATAGTGATTCATAAACACATGCTCATGATATTGTCGGAATCGTACAAGGTGTCCTGGCCTAGATCCTGTCAAAATGGGATAGCAAAAGGGAAACTTAGACTTACTGGCTCGATGTTACTGACTTACGAAGTCATAGGGCTTCAATCTAGAATACACATCAAAATCAGGCAGCAAAGACTTGCCAAGAATCCTGCAAGAATAAGTACTTTCATGACCAGAAATGTTGACGGTTCAGGTGAACTGAAGACAGCAGATTACACACGCTAGTTTCTCTTACATCCCTGATTGGTAAATATTTCATGCACTTCTCCAAATGGTTATGATTTAGAAGGTCAATCTGCACAATCCTGCCCCAATTTTATAGGTTTGAGTTTTAGTTGAGATATAGAATGCCATGCTGATTTTCCTAATGAGTTTTTAACCATAATGTACTGCTTGGTTAAAGTATTTAGGTGACAGCAATTAAGAAGTGAAGAGAAATAATCACGTGTGATCTTACAAAATGAGAGTGAATCCCTCTAAAGGACGTAGAATCTTGGAAGCTAATTGTCCTTTGTTATTGGATCTGACTCTCTGCCATTATGACACTGAATCTCCCGGACTTCAAAGGCGCCACAAGGTCAAGGTCACGTTTATTGTCAAGGACTGTCCCATGCAGGTGATAATTTCTTTTCCATTTCCACCTCATTAATCATTGATCAAGAACTAACTCATTCATTCGCTCGTCGACTAACTCCGGACAACGTCCTCAGCAAGTACAATGGAACTCTGTTATTTCGAGTTTCCCGGACATCGAGATAGACGGATGTGACCAATAACCGGCTATCAGAGGGATAGAAATACCCTTGATATAAAACAGAAATCGGCAATATCAAAGCATATAGGCCGTCTGACTTGTTATTTCTGATGATTTAACCAAATTTGTAGGCACACCGTTAATTGTAGAAGTGAAAACAGCCAGAACGTTAACCATTTCCTGTGTACTGGCAGAGACCATATCGGTACATGGTCACTGGTACTGGGATGGCCAGTATTTGAATTTCAAAATATAAATATAACAATAAAATATGCATATTTAAATTTTTCCGAAGGTTATGTGGTCTTTGGAAAAAACAACGCAGTTTAGATCTTTAAAGACAATTGAGATCGTTCTGTGAACAAAAACAACCCTGCAAACTAAGCACAATCACACAGTTACCAGTTGACCTTACCACGTCTATTGGCTTTCTCTGAGTCATCCCAAGCTTTGTAACGATGTCAGTTTAGTGTCTTGAAGAAACCATTTAAACGAATTTATAACCAAAATGATCCCGATTACTCAAAAGCGTTGACATTTAGAATCGTATGATAATGCTTCTTGCGAGATTAGTAGCAATTAGCATTCTTTGTAGGGACAAGCACTATAGAGAAGCGCATCTGAACACACACGTCACCAGGACGGAGAGACTTCGTTAACTGGAATGTAAATTAGCTTTAGCTTTAGTTTTATTTGTTTTGTTTACTCTTGTTGACAGTATTCCGGGTCGCAATAGTCCCCATTACCCCATGCATCTCGGCAGTGCCGACTAAATGGTGCGAGCAGGTTTGGTGTCTCCTGATTGCGTGTCACATCGCACCCGGAACGAAACATTGCTGATACTTTCTGTCATTGGTGTACCTGGTCAGGACTCGGTTATTTATAAGCTGCTGTAATATAGCTGGATTTTTTCTAGTTATTACGGTGTTAAACAACAGAAATATAGTTATCTAATCACTGTCTTGTTTATGCAAGAATGTCTACTTGTTAATATTGCCACACTACCAGCCAGAGGAAGCCAAAAGGTATATTTCGTGTCCAGTAAATTTGACTAATTGTATCTAAACGTGTACATTCGCATACTTAGTGTCATTAACGTGACGTGCCTCCACACCACGCCATCGTCAGAATATTGCTAATGTAGCGATTCTTAGAATTCTACGATTTAAATGGGGTG